TGAAAGCCTTTGCCTAAGCTGTTTCCCTCCATTCTCTGCCTCTCCTGGCTTTCGCCTCCTTTCTCCAGTCCCTACCATCCCTGGTATTAAAAGAGAGAAGTGGCTCGTATCCCCCTCCTCAGGCTGCCTACCTCCTTCCCGCCAATTCCCCCAGGAAACGAGAGCCTCTGAGGCCGGTGAAGGTCAGTTCTCTCATCCCCACACCCTGGGTATGAGGCCAGAAACGGGGCGTCCTCACCGATACTAGGCCCCAGTTCCAGCAGCACATCATCGCGACCCAGCTTAGCTAGCAGCTCCAACAGACGGCCCACCGAGGCGCCGGGGCGTCCCTGCCAGTCGTCCAGCAGTCTGCCCGTGGGGTCGGAGTGCTTCTCCAGCTGCCGGATCTCCAAGTACTCGAACTGCATCTCCTCTGCCAGTGTGGCCCAGTCGGCCGCAACCTGCGTCCGCACGTTCAGGAACAGCGACAGGCGTCGTCGTACTCGCACGTTGAGCGCAGCCAGGGGCAGGGAGGACATGGAGAGGGCGGGGGTCGCGGAGCCCGCGCCGGGGACTCCTGCAGCCATGGCGGGCCGCCCTGGAGCTTCCGCGCTGTCGAGTCGCGTCGTCGGCCCGTGCTTCCTCCTTCCCGTAGGGCACCTTCCCTCGGCCCCGCCCCGCGGGTTCTCTTTCCGAGAAGCCCCGCCCTGCCCCTCAATCTGGAGCACCAGCAGATGTGCGGGGGGAGGGGGCGCCTTACACCCCTGGACTCGGGAGACCGGGGATGTGAGCTACTGTAGGAACTGGATACTAGCCTTTTGAGGTCTGAGGAGGTCCACCGACCTGTGCTTGAGGGTTTGGGGCAGCGGGGGAACGCCGACCCTCCTTGGGGGATTGTAGGCAACAGGGGCTTTGCTCTTTGGGATCTGGTGGAGTCACATCTTTCCACTGGGTATCTGAGTAGTTCATGCGGTTCTGCCCCTGAAGGCGGCGGGGAGGAGACAAGGGGGAAGGCATTGGCTACGCCCCCACCCCTCCCTCACCTCCGGTCTCTTGGGAACACACAATCCCACCTCTAGGAGTATAGGGAGTCCCCGGCTGTACGCTCAGAAGTCGAGGTGGAAAGGGCATACTTACTGCCTTCTGGAGCCTGAGGCACGCAACCGTCCTGCCCTTGAAAGGTAGGGGTCACACCCTACCCTCCAGGGTTGGTAGTAACAGAGCACCTTGGCCTTTGATGTCTGGGGGAAACGCAATACTACTCTCTGGGGTCTAGGGAAACACATTGCCATTGGGAGGAACCTGGCCTTGCTCTTTAGGGGTTGAGGGAGGACACAGTCCTGACCTCCGGAGCTCTGGTTCATTCATTCATTCATTCATTCAATGGGTATTTATTGATCACCTACTGTCAAGCACGTTGCAGGCTCCCAGGATACAGGGACCCTCCCTGCCTTGGTGGAAACCCCAGCCTAGTGGTGGACGTGGGTACTAATCAAATCATCCAAGATGACTGTAAAATTGGTAAAAAGAAGTATATGATGCTCTCTCCAGATAGGAAGCTTGTCACATCTCGGCACCTTTCTATAATACTTTCTCCTGCCGCCTCAGAATCCCAAATTCTTTCAGTCTTCTCGAAAGGCTTCCCAGGACAGCCTAAGCATGTCGAGGTAGGACTCGGGGGGCGTCTCGGAATTATTTAGGTCTCCCAGCTTGGATGCTGGGATCCAGGAGACAGCAGGGAAGGCTAGGGAAAGGAAAAGGGGTTAGTCAGGGCCTCCTCCTTCCCAAGCTAGAAGCGGTGGGCCATACTCCTGGCGGTCCCACCTTCTGTATGGCGGCGGCCAGTGGGGAGCCCTGGCAGTGGCTGAGTTTGTTTTAAGATACCAAGAAGACTCCTGGAGCTCTGCCTCGGGTTTGGCAGCAGCGGGGGCTGCAAGCGGGAAGGTTTCCGGTATGCATGCCGGGGCGGGGCTTCAAAAAGGTCCACTTCCTGCCTGGCGGTGGGAGGCTACGGCAGGCAGGACTTCGATGGGAAGGACTCTTGGCGACGACCGTGAGCCCTGCTTTAGAAGGTTCGGGTTGTGGCGTGGGGCGGGACATCACGCTGACTGACCTTCTGGTTGGCTGAGAGGGGAGGTGGGCGAGCTTTGCGACAGTCCCGCGGAGCTGTGGGCGTGGTACGGGCTTCCGGGGCAGAGGTGCGGTTCCGCTCCTGTGCTGTCGGTGGTCTGTGGGCTCTGGCGCTGTTCCCGGCCGAGTGGAGGTCTACCGGGCCCAGGTGCGCGATGCAGAGGCTTCAGGTGGTGCTGGGCCACCTGAACTGTCGGCCTAACTCTGGCCCGCAGTCGAGGCTGCAGGCGTTGCAGTGCAGGGGTGGCTTTCCGCGGCCGTCGGCGGACGATGTGGTCGTGGTGCACGGGAGACGCACGGCCATTGGCCGAGGGGGGCGCGGCGGCTTCAAGGTAAGGCCCTGGGACCCGGCGCCGGGTGTGAGATGGCTCCTCTGCTCCGTTCCCCTCGGCTCGGTTCCCGAGCTGTGAGCTCTG